AGATATAATTGACAAATACCATTTTGTAAATTTAAGTTGTGCAATATGGTAATTTGATACAAGTATAATTTTATGAAATGATTACCACAATAAGGTTAAACAAATCCTTCACATCATATAGTTACCCGTGTGTGTGTATGTGTTTGTGTGTGGTGATAACATTTAAGGTCTATTATCTTAGGAAATTTCGAGTATACAATACAGAATTGTTATAGTCACCATGCTGTACATGAAATTCTCAGAACTTAATCATCTTATAATTAATGCCTTCTTCTACTTTTCTTATCAACCCTTTCAACCTTTAAAGTCCTCAAAACCTTCCTTGATCTGGTTCCTTCAATGACTTTAGCTGCTCTTTGGAAGTGCTACACAGAACGTCTCTCATATAATACAGTCAGCTAATGCAATATGCAGGCCCTATAAATATTCTGGTTACTGCAAAGTTATGCTTCTTACATATCATATAAGGTTTCCAACCGATTTGTAACAATAACAACACATTGTTATATGTTTATTATCATATTACATTACATTATATTATAATCATAACTATATCTCTGCTGGGTATAGTGTAATCTTCTCTTGTTGACTCATGAAACACTTTAGGATCCTGGTGTGTTTGTTATATTTGTGCTCACAGCAAGCAAAACTTCTGTGCTAAGGTGCTGGTGAGTGGAACATTTGTTTAATAGATCTCTGGTAAGCACATATACATCTTTGCTCCAAAACTACTTATGTAGATAACTCTTGGTAACCCTAGACATTTTCTGTCTACAAACTTACCAAGATTAACCCTACTTAGTTTCCCATATCAAACAAGATCAGATGTGTTCTATTTAGTATGGTTTAGATATTTGCTTGTGATTATATTCATTTGTGCTCCTTTTTTTTCCATAATAGTGTCCTTTTTATGTTTTGATTTCAGATTCTCTCCAGGCTCAAAGGTTTTATTTTCCATGAAATTTTCCAATTTCTTCACTTGGGTGTTTATTTTAAGGCTATGTACAATGAGTCCTCCAAAAGCTTTCTGGCTACATCTTTATATAGCAAAAATAAGCAATATATTATTAAGCAAATAAGCAAAATGTTCTTGGAAATAATATAGATTTGTGGTTTCTCTGATATGTTCTGCAAAGCTACAGGATTCTACAGATGTGCTTTGCTGGCCACCATGATATGAAGAGAAAGATAAACTCACTTCTGTCTATGCATCCCATACTCCTCAACGTCAGCAATTCCTTTCTTATCAGTTTTATATATTGGGATTCCACAGCATAGAAATAGTTTGCCAATAATAATGTTGCCCCAACTACTGATTGTGAATATTTCATTTGGCTGATCTAGTTATATCCTGACAAAGCTACCATTGAGTAGTAGCAGTGATGCTAACAAGTCCTTTCTTTGGTATGTAAGTAGTTTTGAATACTTACTAAGGGTACAATGTTGAATAAAGTCAATGTACTCCCAATGCTTACTGTCGAAAGTAACATTATGCACAGTATTTAACTGAGCTCCCACCCTACAACTGTAAAAGGTAAGTGAGAAGGTGTTATTACTTTGAAGATTTGGATTAGAAATTACTGAAGCATATTCACATGCAGTTTGACTCTTCTCCACATTAAAATAATTACCCAGCATTGTAGCTAGACTCACGGGATTTTGAATGTAGTAATGAATTATTGCAAACTGTCCAAAAAATACAGAATCATATGTCTCTGGGACTTGGTTGGAGGCTGAAGCTATAGATAAGGATGTAGGAAGGGAATGTTAGTACTTCTAAAGCCAACTGTGTAAGGTTATGAATTGGAATTTATTGCTATTATGGATGAAGCTAGAATGAATTTTTCCCATGTTGTAGTAGGAAATTGGCTGCTAAACTTTATAATTTGCCTTCTAATGATTAAAGAACAGAATGTCCAGATTCTTAGAATTTTCATAATAGAAGTTTAAATTTATATATGGTTTATATTACATGGATGGCCACAATGAGAAGCTCTCAAAGTTTAGGTAAGATCAGAAAAAAAGATCAAAATATGAAACTGAAAGTAATGAGAATGAAAACACAGAAGATGAAAGTAGCCAGCTATAGAAGATATATTCTATCTACAGAGAACATATAGATCCATATTCAACGGATTATTTTTTCTGAGAAGATCCAAATCCAAGCAAAGAATCAAATGTAAATAAGAAAAGCAGTAACTTAATCAATCATATCCATTTATTTCTGTAGAAAGGATGGGGATGAATTTATGGAAGCACAGTCATTCAAACTGAGGCTAAAAAAGGGGGAACCAAAAATAAAGATTCATAAAAATTTATCCAACACTATCTAAGAGGAGATTACTGTATCTAAGTCACCTGAGGTCAACTCTCATTGAATAAGGATGGCTCACCAAGCTTTTCTTATAACCTTTAGATAACTTTCAGGATCTCAAGAAAGAATTAAAAAATAGACATCTATAATCAGTTGACTTTAAGTAAAAGAAACTTTTCTAGATACACTAATGGGCCTGGTTCAATCATTTGAAAGGCTTTAAGAACAGAACTGAGGTTTCCTAGAAAAAGAAAAGAATCCCACCTGTCAATTGCAGCTTCACTTCTGAAACATCCAATCTGCCTTTCCTGACAGCCTACCCTACAGATTTCAGACTTGCCTAACGAGCTCCCAAAATCGCATAAATCAGTTCATTGAAATAAATCCCCTTACTGTATATTTCCTACTGGTTCTGTTTTTTCCTGGTTGAACCCTGACTTATATACTCCCACACAACCTTTCTCAGGCAACTAAAAGAGAATATACTTCATCAAAAAGGAAGAGGAAGACTAGGATCAAGCAAACGGGGAATTTAACTTAAAAGAGAGATAGAATCCTAGGATGATGGTGACAAAAAATCCCTGGGGGAAAACAGCTATGGACTATGCTGAATACCATGTCTTACAACCATTAGGGAAACAGGCATGAATATTCATAAGGTGAAAAGTACTAATATGTCACAGATTAACAGAGATTAATAGCTTGAGAAGAAGACAAAATCCAGATTTTAAAACAATATTGACAGGAGTTCTTAGCAACCAAGACAAAAACAAGTTGCCTGGCTGATTATTGGTAGAACCACAGAATTTTATAGTTCACTGTGATCACAGGAAGCAGGAATACCAATAAGACTCTTCCAGTACTCTAGATGTGCTATAATTATGCTTTTGTCTGAGATTATTATCAATTTGGTGTTCTGTGTTCTGAAGAAGAATCTAATCTCTGTTACAAAGGACAGGTTAAAAAAAATCCTGAGCAATGAATGCTTCTCTGATTTGATAAATTAGAGAAAATGAAAATTTCTGATGAGGGTTGAAGAAATGATCTGGGAAAGATGCCAGGAAGGGAAAGATTTCTAGGAGGCTAAGGAGAATTAAAACTTGTGTCTATAGAAAAATGCTTTTAGTAAATGGGAAGAAACTCCATACTACTAAAGTTGTACTGTGGGAAATAAAACTCCAGTGCTAGAGTAACAACTTTGAAAGCTCTCAACTGCCAGAGTCTGTAAAATAAAAACACATTGTTTAGATATCAGCATCATGTTTTTTGCTCAACTGGGTCAAAGGCAAAACTTAAAGCAACTTTAGGTATGAAATGGATTGTTAGGAGAAGGAATGCCTTCTGAAGTTATGGAGAGTCCAGAAACCATCAAGTGATGGAATTACAAGCAGTGATTCCTATTAGCCTAAGGTAGATACATGAAGTGTCACTTAGGCATGTCATAGATCCAGAAGAGGATGGACAAGTATAAACTGTAAGTACAATTCTCTAGGTCAATTGAATAGTAGCTTCAAGGGCTTCAAATGGCTTCAGGACTACCTTCTTCCACATTAGTATTTGAGGATTCCAGGGAAAGTCAGAGATATAATGCCTTAATCTTTACTGAGTCTATCTTAAATTACTGGAAACAAATGCACTTGTATGTGCATATAGAGATAAATGCCATGCTATCTATCATAAATTGGGCAGATTAAGACAATACCTAGCAACATGTATAACCAAGAAAGGAGAATCTGAGACTGAGGTATAGAGCATGAGAATATCAACCAGTCTTGAGCAGCTAACTTCTGGGGGAGTAGCCAGAAAATCAAATGCACAAAAGCCAAAAGACATGGCAGCCTCAAGACTAAGTAACTAAGGGTTTCCATCAGTCAGGGGAAGAAGAACACTAGGAATCCATCTGATGTTGTTTATGACTCCCTTCACAGGAAACCTCTTATCAGGAGCCAGGGTCCACAAAAAAGAGGCTTGATGCAAGCCAAATAAGGAATTGGAGCTACAGCCAAGTGAACTCCAGTTCATGGAGTATCTCAAGTCCAGCAAGGAAAGCAAAACAAATTCATGATCTAGACTAAGATGGTAACGGGGAGGAAGAAACCTGCAATAAAATGTTCATATGCTCCATTCCAAGAGCTTCCAAGGACCAAGCCAATTATAAGCCAAGAAGAATAGTTGTAGTCTCTGTCTATAGGTGGTGCTAACAAAACTGCTCTAACCTCCTGACCTGGTCAGCCTCTGCTATGGAACTGAGGTCAGCCTGGTCCAGCATGAGAAGGACACTACTATTTCCAGCTTGGAGGAACTGGAGACAACAAAAGTAGGGAAAATGAGATCATTAAGGACAACAGGTACATGTCTGTAGCTACATAAAAAGGAATGACACTTGAGTCTTATTTCAAAGCTGTTACATATGCTGAGAGTCCACTGAACCCTTGTCAGTGACAAATCAGTTTTTAATGAATAGGGTTATAGGAGTTCTGTGTTATATATTTCTAAGAACTATGCTCCTGAATAGGCCAATGAAAAGAAACTTCTGCACATTTACTCAGGCAGATACGTTCAGAATGATAACAGAAATTGTTATGTTTTGATCTTAGTAATAGTTTATGAAGCTGACTGGAGAGTCATGGAAAGAATGATCAAAGCAAGGACAAAAATAATCTATACTTTCTTTTTCCCCATAGAGCTTGAAAAAATCTTTTTTACCCACCTTTCATTATCCTTTGAAATAACTTGTAGGAAAATAAAAGCAGATGTCTGGAAAAGTCATCAAGAAAAGCCACAAATCAAAAAGAGATTTCAAACATATGTTTTTAATGAACTGGCTGAAGGTTTTGTTTTTTTTCCCCTGTTCCATCCCAACTGATCCCAGAGTGTTGGTGGCAAGGTGTTCTAACAATCAGTACTTTCCCAAATCTAAATGTGCTGTCATTCTACTTTCTTTGGGAAGAGAAGTCTTAAGAAAGTGGATGGAAATGGCCTTAGAGTACCAAAACAGCTTTCCTCTTCAGTCTAGTACCACTGCTTTCCTTTTTAGTCCATAGGTACAGCAACCTGGACCTGGAAAACTTAGAATAAGTCCTTACCCATCATTCTGTCACACATACAAGGGAAAAATATGAAGTCATTCCTTACAAGACCTGTCTGATTCACATTCATTGGCTCTTCTTCTTTCATTCCCAGAACCATAGTATTTACTAATAAAATTTAAAAGATCTAGGATGGGTTAGCCTGGTGATGGGTATTAAAGAGGGCACGTACTGGAAAAAAAAAAAACCTAGATTTTAAGTAAAAATTTGGAAGGAAAAAAATTTAAAAGATCTTTTGTTAGCTTGGGTACTTTTTTTTTTAAGGATCAGTAATTTTTTTTTTTTTTTTAATCTAGCTAGTCATTTTGGATAGATAGGCATATTATATCTGGACAAATAGATCTCCACCTGAAAGAGTCAAGTATTTTCTACAATTTTCAGTTCTTAATATGATCCTAATTCTAAGTCAGCCAATGGTTTTAGTTTTAGAAGAGGCCTGAAAAGACCATCTTGTCCTATCCTGCATTTGAATCAGTAAGACGTAACTATGTCTGTGTCTTCATTTTATGGAGTGAAGTTTAATGTTATGCTGAGGTCTCACTGCAACTCAAGGGACATGAGAATCCAGAACAACTGCTTCTTATGGAGGGCCTTGGTCTACTACCACACCATGCTGTTTCTCTTTTGGAATCATGGCTAATTGAAGCCATATTATTATAAACCAGGCCATAGACATTAACTTAGTAATTGAGTTTATGAAATTTCCAAGCCAGATGATGATGATTAAAGAGTGTCTTCACAATAACAACTTCATAATTAAAACAAATGAAGGGTTTGTAGAATACTGTAGGCAATAAAACACATTTTTTTTTCTTTTTAATAAAATGGTAAATAATAATAGAAGGCATTATTGGTAATTATTTAGATTCTTATACCAATGCATATAATTATAGAATTCCTACATATCATAGTGAATATGTTCTGGTCTGGGATAAAATTCTAGGATCGAGAATTGTAAACAGAGAAATTGCTATACAGAAAGATGTGGTAGCACATGCTGGTACAATATGGTAAGAAATTTGCCTGGGTCCCTGTGTCTCTTGGTGAATGAATCTAGAAGCAGTGGATATGGGATATAGGACTGGACATTTCCAAATGGAAATGATGAGCTTTTCACTATGCTACCCTTGCTCCAGAGAATGCCATCACTCTCCACTAACCATAGGTCAGTCAAAACCCTGGTTCTCCGAGGGAGCAGATTACTGTACAGCACGCATAAAGAAGAGGGAGGTGGTATTTCCACAGATAGTCTCAAGCCAGACTTTGAGAAATCCTCATATCCAGTGGAAGATGGGAATATGGAAAATATAGTTTACTAGTAAAAATATATCTTGCTATAAAATGTTATTAAAGTAATTAACGCAGGTATTTCTCTGACATGGTTTTAGCATATTTTATGAAACTGGAGATTTGATTCATTACCTTAAGAGTGTGGACAAAAGCCTCCATCTGGTAAATCAATACTCCTAACACCAAGTTCAGGTGACCATGTGTATTCTTTTCATGTTTTAGAATAAAACAAGAAAAGTTTTTGTATTTTTTGGAAAACATTTGTTTTTCATATTTCTTGCAAAAATGCAGACATTTAAAAAATAAGATCCACAAGCTGCGAGTTTTTAAACACTATGGTTATGGTATTTTAAAACAAATTAGTATAATCTGTATATGATTGATAACATTAAGGAATTATTTTAATTTTTTAAAAAGTAATAGTTTTTAAATTTTATACTTATAGGTTAGGATATTTCTGGGCAGCATGTCCAGAGTTACCTATTTATATATTATTTTATACATTGCTTTTTCCTTAAAAGAATGTAGGGGAGATTGAATCTACCTTTAGATGGCTAGGTTGACTCAAGGTTATATTGTAGATAGTTGTATTTGTATAGGTTATATTATACTTTAGTGAAAAAACAAAACAAAACAAAACCCCACAACCCCAATCTTCTTAGCTTACAAAAACAAAAATTTGTTTCTTGTTTGTTATAAATCTGTTGTGAGTCAAGCTAGCTCTTCAAGCAAATATGCTTCATAGGTAGACTCAAGAAATTTAGACTGCTTTTATCATCTTCTAATAGTTTTCAGAGCATATGATTTTATGAAAATTATTTGAATGAGAGCATTTTTAAAATATATGTATAACGGTATCAACTGTAATTTTTATTCTAAGCTACAAGTATCTATTCATATAATGTTAGGATAGGTTTTTTTTTAAATCTATTTACACAATATTTATACTTGTTACATTGCCTTTTTTTAATTGACATGTAATTGACATATAATACCTATTAGTTTCAGGTGTACATCATAGCAATTCAATATTTTTATACATTATGAAATGATCCCCATAAGTCTAAATACTATCTGTCATCATACAAAGTTGTTGCAATATTATTGACTATATTCCCTATACTGTACCTTACAACCCCATGACTTGTTTATTCTTAACTAGAAATTTATATCTTTTGATCCTCTTCACCCATTTTACCTGCTCCACTACATTGCTTTTTAAGTGATATTTGAGAGGCATGTTTCTATGATTAAATTCATAGTTTTAAGGTCATAACCCCCCACTCCAAAAAACTAAATCTGTTTACATTATTGTGTCTCCTTTTTCCACCCTTTAAAATAGTTCAGTCAAGTGACCTGTATAAACATAGTTTTAAAACTAGCATTGATTTTGGCCATTTCAACTTAATTGTATTCCCCATACACTATTTGTTTAAAATAATTTAGAAAATACCCTAAATTATGAATGACTAGAAAGAATCTGAATGTAAGACAATGTCCTTTAATTCTGAGGCATACTTTTGGGTAAAATATTAAGAGTCTGTTATATTCTAGAGATTATGCTAAGTACAACAACAAAGAGGTGGAGAGAGACCTGAAAACTGGGAGTGTGGTATGGAGGTGTGTGCCATTTTGACTCTAATGGGGAGGGTAGGCCCCTTTCAGAGGGTGATGTGCATGCAGATGGCCAAATGGGGAAGAAAGAGAACCATGTGTAGTTTAGAAGGAGAACATTCCAGCCATAAGGAATATTAAACACAAAGCATAAAAGCCATAAAGCATGAACAAGTTCAGCTTGTTCTAGAGTCTGAAAAGTCATTTCTCTGCACAGAGAGCTAAAGATTAGTTCAAAGAGTAGGAAAGGTGTGAATCATACAGGGTCATAATGGCCATGGCGTAGGGGTTAGATTTAAGTGTGCAGAGCAGTAGTCCTTGGGGTATTTTTAGTAGGGATGCAGTATGATCTGATTCATATTTTACAAAGGACACTCTGTGTTGTACAAAGAGAATAGTATCCAGGAGTCAGGAGTGGAAGTAAAAATTTGGTAGGAGGCCAGGGCTCTAGCCCCAATGGAGAGAGTAATGGACAGAATTCCATAAGGATTCACAAAAAAGACACACAATAAACTAGAAAAATATTTGCACTACATATCACAAAAGGCTGGTTTTCTACAGATCAATAAGAAAAAGATTGATAGACAAAAAAATATTAACTTGCAATTTGCAGAAAAGGAAATAAAAAGGCTTCTAAATATGTTAAGCTCCCCATCCTCACTCCTAATTAGATAAATGAGAATTAAAATTATACTGAAATACTTGTTTAACCAAAAGACTGGTAAAAAGCAAAGAGTTTAACAGATTATAAGCTTGAGGAGGGCATGAAGAAATAGGCACTCATTCATTTCTGATATGAATCTAAGTATACACTGTGTGATGAACAATTTGGAGATGTCTATCAAAATCACAAATGTACTTGTCTCAGACCCTGCGATTCTGCTTATTGTAATTTATTCCACAGATAAACCTTCATTCTATATCCTTGTATAGAGGCGGTCAGTGCTTTGCCCATATCCATCACATCTGCATCCCTCAATCAAGGACTCTCAGATGTTGGTATCTACTTCAGCTCTCTCACCCTTGACACTGAATAATTGTGAGAAGTGTATTTTGCTCTTTTCTCAGTTACCCCATTTTTAAGGTCCCATAAGATTAATCTCCAGTTACTGACTGAGGTACCTGGCTTAATAATGCACCACTAGTTGATTTCCTTTCCCTGGATCTACTTTCCTCTTCCTTTACTAGTTTTCTCAGCACCTCCAAATAAACTACTTACAATCAGTGTTGCTTTCTGGAGGAATCCAACTAAAAGAATCCTCCAGCTCTTCCCTGACCTTTAGATTCCTAATAGGGGATGCTATTGGCATTTGGGCAGAATAAGCCCATGTTTTATAGGTCTGTCCCTACCTTTTAGGATTTTTAGCATCCTCTTCCCTGGACACTAAATTATGGCCCTCCAGTTACTAGTCCTTGTGACAACTCAAACCTTATTTCTTGCATTTCCATGCTTTCACATGTCTCCATCTCTTCCCTGGGAACAAAGCTTCTCCTATATAGCCCTCACAAGTAGTACCAATTACTCCTTTCAGGTTCCTCAAACCACTGGGCCTGGCAGTAGGCTAAGTGTTCTCCTTATGGCTTTTTACTACTTCTAGATCATTTTCCCACCCTCTTCCCCAGAAACTCCATCTTTGAATCTCATCTCTTCCCACCATAATACCACTATCTGCCATCCTAGGAGTACCCCTTGAAGAATCCTCCTTATTCCTTGAAGATTTGGGCCCCCAGTTCATTGTCATTCTATCCAACATTTCTATCATA